TCGGACGGGGCTCCGCCGGGCGCTGTGGCCCTGCTGGCGGCGACAGGTGACCGGACCCGCGGGACTCTCCGCGCCGGTGGTTGCCCGGGGGTAGTCGTCGCTTACAAAGTTAATGTTTAGCTTCCAAACGGCCGTTTACGCGACGTTTAGCGAAGTACCCGACGCCGGCGAGCAGGAAGTACCTGCGGCGCGGGGCGGCCGAGCCCGCGGCCGTCCGAGCGCCTGAGGTCGGCGCTCCCGCTACAAAGTTGCTTTGCCAGCGCAGCCTGACCGGCGCTTGCAACATGCAGCCGCGGCTTAACGCCACTCGGCAAGAGCCTGCCAAACGTTGCTTTATCTGGGAAAAACCAGTTTGTGGGGTTTTTTGTGTGTGTGTTTTTTTTCCCAAGGAATTTCCAAGGCTGTTTTTGGAGGGATGTTTAACAGTAAACTTAGGAAGTTCTTTGTGATGAGGGTCTGACTCGCTTTGAGCTCTGGTCTCTATAAAGAAAAGTGTTGCTCATTCTCAGTATTTAAAAGGAGCAGCAAGTGCTTACACAAAGTGAACTTTCGGCTAAATCGACACTTAACTTGTTAATTTTATTTTCTGTGCTTTTAAGTTCCATGAGGATGGTCTAGGCAAAGATCCTACATCCTGTTAAAGAGAAATTAAACAAACAAAACTTATTTTGCAAAAGTAGTGTGTGATTTATCTGCCATTGTCATAAGAATTCCAAATAGACTAACTCACTGTAGGTAGGAGTTAATTATAGCCTGAAAAAGCAAGGTTTTTGTTTTTGTTTTATATTTTAGAGGATTTTAAAGTTAACTGTTTGGACAATTTGGCTAGGCTCATGATTGCTGGCCATAAACCATGAAGGTGATTTATTTAAATTTGTTCACCAACTTAACTCACTGGCAGTTATGTGTATTCTTTCCTACAGTGTAAAAAATAAGTGCCCAAGAGCAGACCTTTTTTTCTCCCTATTAATTTTTGAAAAAAATATTTTTATGAATGTATGTAGCTGGTAAATTGTTCATGGAACTTGATACTAATAGGCTATCCATTAATACTATTTTTTCTAGGAGATACAAAAAGTAGTTTTTAAAAAGATAGCTATTTTAATGAGGCAGGGGCACCCTTTTCCACCTAACTTACACTTTTCCTTAGAAAGAAAAGTCACAAAACTCTTATACTTTTAGTATGAACTGTGACTCAAGATCTTTTATTTAGTATCAAATAAATGTTTGTTTTAAACTGTATAGTATCAAGAAATACAGTTTTGGAATTATATGGTTTAGAAGTTTGTTTTAACAGGACAAAGAGTTAAATTATGAAAATTCTGATTTTAAGATGATGTACACATTTAAAAGTCAAAATCAGAGTTATTTTGCCTGCGGGAACTGTTTGGAATTCACTCGCCTACCATTCCACAGAGGACGTTGCTTTACCCTACAATTTTCAAAAAATATGTTTGAAATCTATAAAGTGCTAGATTAAGCTGTCCTACAGAGATGTGTAGTTACTAAAATACTTAGAAGATCTTGTTATTTGACAGCTTTAACTATAAGGTGTTTCTCAATTATAGACCGCAGAGACAGCCTGCAGCAAGGCGGCTTACGTGTTGCATCTGGAAGCATTTTGAACACGGAGTGTGCTAGGTATGCTGGGGCCCAAAGGATTGTCAATCTAGTCTGGTGTTGCTCATGAGCTCTTCGATAAACGGAGGAATGTGCTAATTTATGTCATCTTTGCAGAGCTAGCTAGAAATTAGCGATGAGACAAATGTAGAGTTAGTATATTGTTAATTTTGTACAGATGTAATAACTTTAGAAAATTTTGCATTGTAGTATATGCACATGATAAGAGCAAGAAATAGATGTACCCTGTACTACCACAGAGACAATCTTCAAAGGTTATTTAAACTCTGAATAACTATATAAAACCCTAATCTTGGGCAAGTTATTATGAATTTTATTTTTAATACTAGGAATACTACATATATAGAATACTTAGGCAAAAAGTATCTGTTCTTTGCTTTCCCACGTTAACTGTCAGGAGTTCTGAAACCGGGCTCCAGGATTAGAACCAGAGCCTGTGGTTAGAGCTGAATTTTAACATAATTAACAGACATTATTCTGAGGAGTCCATAGGCCACCAAAGGCTCCTGTGACACACACAACTGCTAGAAACCATTGCATCTTGTTGAAGAATTTTAGTTTTCCATGAGTCACTTCAGAAAAGTTACTTCATGTATTCATATTTGTGACTTATCAGAAAATAAAATGTTATGCAACATAAGCCATATTTGAATATCTTAGCTGTTTTAATGAACAAAATCAGTTATCTGAGTTTTTGTCACAGTATTTTAAAATTAATTTGGAAACGATTACATTAGTCTTCTACTTTGCAAAAAATGACCTGCAGAAAGCAGTTTGAAGAAATACTTTTCCTTTGGAATTTGGAAGTTTTTTTCTTGGCCTTTGTGCTTTTCCAGGTTAGCAAATTTATTCAATAAACATATATTGAGCTATATATAGTTGCATGCTAGGCACTAGGGATTCAAAAACCAGTAAGACAGAGTGGTCAGATGTATGAGTCCTTCCTTCCCTAGGTCTCAGCTCTGGCCATTGCCAATCCTCCCCCAACTGCACTGACTTTCTAAAGATAAAATAGTCCTTTTTCTTATACTCTTGCCTTCGCAAGATGCAGCTTCTCTTCGCTCCCCATTCCCTTTTCAACTCCCAGGGACCACCCCACGCCTAGGAAGTTTTTTCTGACCCAGCAAAGGACAGGAGAGTATTTCATCCTTGTGTTAGTTACCACCATACGTTGTACATTCTTTTGTTAAGGATTTATACTGTGTTGTGTAGCAGGGAGACAGGCAAACTAAGGGCATCCGAAGATGGTGACGTGTACTATCATCACTACACCTACCTAACAAATCTCAATGTAGTCCTTTTATTTTAGGGACATAGATAGTCAATACTGGTACTTTTTTTAAAGATTGAAGTGTACTTGTTATATATACACACACATACATATGTATATATGTATGTATATTTGTTAACCCTCACCAGAGGATATTTTTCCGTTGACTTTTAGAGAGAGTGGGAGGGAGGGAGAGAGAGAGGGAGAGAGAAACAAACATCAGTGTGAGAGACCCACTGACTGGTTCCCTCCCGCAGGCTCCCCAACTGGGGCTGGGGATCGAACCTGCAACCCAGGTACCTGCCCTTGACCAGGAATCAAACCCTCCACCCTTTGGTGCGTGGGCTGACATTACAACCGGAGCCACACTGTTTTATATTTTAATAGTTTTTACCAGGTTGATACAATATAGCCACAAAGATATTATAGTATAGTTACATTTTTTTTATTAGTGAACAATAAAGCAAAGTACCTGTTTACATTTATGTCCTCTTAACGAGTTACTTTTAAGTTTTGCCAGCCTGATGGAAACAAAGTAGCTCTGACTGGCTGTGCTGGGGTCACCTAGACCCCTCCCATTCGTTCCTGTGATTGTCTGGGAGGACCCGAGCTCTGAGCGCATTGTGGCCTCATTGCCATGCTGGTTACCGACAGCGTCTGTAAAGCAGACTCAGCAGACAGAGATGTTTTCTCG